CCGGGTCACTGGCTCGGCTCCGAAGCGAAAACCTGGTATGCATTGCACTGGCTGCCTTTTTATGCTCACGCTGTGATCAGCGGCAGCTGGATGCAATCACCGCATGCCAATGTGCATTGGATCGTTTAGTTTACACTCAAAGTGGATTGGTCTCTCTAAGCAAGATCCCAATTCGTCGGTCACCGACGTGACGTCTCCGTTCCCTCCTTCAGGGAACGAGGGTTACATACGTAACCGAGACGTTTATCGTAAATGCTTGTCAGTAAATGCAGCAGTAACTTTAACTATATTTCAAAGACAATAGAATTAATTATGAAATTACTTATAAAGATGTATTTTAGTGTTACTTAAGTGGGTTAAAAAATTTCAGCAAATTGCATTTAATATAAATGTAAACTATAATATATTTAATTAATTATTTTATTGCAATTAACTTGCAATAAATTATTTCCATAATAAACAGTCTTGTTAAATGTATGCTAAAGTGTACTTCTTTTTCACAAGGGTATATTTTCCTCTTTGTCTCTCTCTATTTCTAACAGGCCATAAGACAAAGTCCTGCCAGGCCTGTCTGGGACTGACCAGTCGGCAGGAAGATGATCGGATTCAGCAAAAATGCAGATTTGGCCCGAGAGAGAGAGAGAGTGAGCGTGAGCTCCTGGAGAGATAAGCGCACTGATAACCGTCTGAGAGTCTGGGAAGCATTTGGCTCCCTTTCCTCCCCCACAGGGATGTGAAGGGATGATGCTGCTCTAGAGCTGGACGTCTCCCGATCCCTACAGGTAGCAGAGATCATATCCACTTCACCTCAAAGGGCTGAGATGAATTCATCTGAAATTAGTACAAATTGATGACATAAGGCTCTGCTTGGGGCCCATGCATATAAATGTAGACATTTATGCCAAACTACATCAAAATACAGTGGGGCCCAATAAATCTACACTGAAAAAAAAAATGGTGTAGTAACAATTTTCACCTAGAAATTGCTAGTAAATTCCACAAGCAAAGATGCATGTAATCTTTTTTTTTTTTAAGTAATGGTGAAAGTGAAATTCAAATTGACTCTATGTACTTCATAAATGTTCTTGGTCTTATTGTGACTAATTGAAACAACAGGAAAATTTTTGTTTTTGATCATTTTTCATGATTTACTTTCTTTCAAACTTTCTAAAGGCTACACGTTTAGAGAAAAATAATATGAACTAATTGTTGTTATTACAACATGACTCTCTGGAATACTTGATTGAGCTAAACTCTACAGGACAGTGGCCCTCCAGGACTGAGTTTAGACACCCCGGGCCTAAAGAATCATACCAACTTGTGGAAAATGGGCATTCGATGTCCCCTTTAATACTTAAAGGGATAGTTCACCCTAAAATGAAGACCCATAAGAAATCTGTTCATCTTCGGAAAACTAATGAAGATATTTTTAAATAAAATCTAGAGATTTCTGTCCCTCCATTGAAAGTCTGTTCACCCAAAACTGACGCTTCCAAATGTTCGTAAAGAGATCAAAACAGCTTCTGTTTATGTTCGTTGATCAGTGTTTATACGTGAATAAAGCGAGCAAATCTCTTCAAAGGACTTGGAGTCATATCAATTTATTTTTTGATCTCTTTACAAATGTTTTGAAGCTTCAGAGTTTTGGGTGAACAGACTTTCATCGGAGGGATAGAAATCTCTAGATTTGATTAAAAACCTCTTCATTAGTGTTGTAGGATGAACGAAATTCTTATGGGTTTGGACCGACATGAGGGTGATTAAATGATGACAGAATTTTCATCTCTTTAACTCTAGAGGTTTGTTGAGATCACGAACCTAAAGTATGAGCGGTACTAACAGTGATGCTGCCTTGTCTTACAAACACCAGTAAAAACCCGTTAGAACCAAACAAACGTTTCGCATACTTTGTTTACCTTGCACGTGCAACCTGCAGACTCACTTACAGTATGTATGGTGTCTCTTTTTAAAGCCTCAGTTTCAGAATAGAGCGTCAGAAAGAGAGAGAGTCTTGCGTGGATCTGACTGTGTGGGAATACTTCACGAAAAAGACAGTCTACACAGCACTCCACTCTCCTTGAGTCATTTCTTTCTCTTTCTGCCTGTCTCTCTCTCTCCGCTGAATCCTCTTTCCCCTTATCAGGCCAGCACAGGCCTCCATCGGCCTCTCCCCGCTCTGACAGGAGCAACAACAATGGGCCTGCGATACCAGTCCGCTTCACAGGGTAAACCTGCCACGGGCACAGATTACCCATGACACACACACTCGCGCTCCCTCTCGTACTCTCCAAAACACAACACCGCCTTCTCCAAGGCCTCAAAACACAAAACGGACACAAAAACCTTTCAAATGATTTAACTTCTGTCCCTTGCTCTCTTCTTAATCTGTCGGTCCGGTCTCTATGTCTGTAGCCTTCCTGTAATGACCCGCAATTCACTAAGACTGTATACAAAGTAAAACATTATGCTGACCTAGATCAACCACAATAGTACACACTTATGTTAAAGGGATAGTTCACCCAAAAATGAAAATTCTGTCATTAATTACTCACCCTCGTGTCGTTCCAAACCCGTAAGACCTTCGTTCATCTTCGGAACACAATTTAAGATATTTTTGATGAAATCTGAGGGCTCTCTGACCCTCGTTATTAGTCGTTATTTTTGTTTTCTTTGCGCAAAAAAGTTCTCGTAGCTTCGTAACTTTACAGTTGAACCACTGATGTCACAAGGACTACTTTGCGATCATCTTGGTACTTTTCTGAACCTTGAACGTGGTAGTTTCCTTGTTGTCTATGGGAGGGTCAGAGAGCCCTCAGATTTCATCAAAAATATCTTAAATTGTGCTCCGAATATGAAC